CCCCCCTCCTTTCCCCCCCCCCCCCCCCCAAAGTGTTTTACCAGAGTAAGCAGCATGTTATTTTGACCTGGCCCTGCAGCTTCTGTGTTGATCAAGCACTTCAGCAAGGCTTTTTGGTGCTTTTATCTAAAGCTGAGTCAATTGGCTATTAGATGAGTGCCAAAAAAGCCCCACTAAAGTGCCCAGTATATACAGATATAAGGACCCCACAGGGCAACAATAGAACCTGGTTTTCTTGACTCTTGCACTACTGTAATTTTTGACCGAGTTATGCACTATAAAGAGTAAATAATCATTCCTAATATCAAGCACTTGCCTGATATACATCAGCACAGACTTGCAAGCATATTTTAACAGTTCAGTATAAAAATGCAAAAACTCAGACTTTTCATAGTCTCTTTTCCTTTTCCTTCCAGGTTGATGAGATAATGCTTACCCTGAAACAAGCCTTTAGCACGGCTGCAGCTCTACAGAATGCCAAGACTCAGATTAAACTCTGTGAGGCCTGTCCTATGCACTCCTTACATAAACTCTGCGAAAGAATCGAAGGTAGCAACTTTCCTAAGTCAAATATGTTTTTGTTTTGTTTTTCTTTTGAAGCTTCACAGCACGTTACTTTGCAACTGTTACTTTCATTGGACCCTACTGTGTGCTCTGAACTTGTGTTGGCTGTCTTACTCATTTGAGTCTTGATAGCATTTGAACTCCCATGGCTGTAGACAAGTTAAATTGTCTACCACTTATTAAATAGTATATTATATAATGAAGTGATGATTTTTGTAATTTATTTTCTAAACTGGTCCATTAAGTCCTCGTTGCTAAATGTTATACTTCTCTCAAATGTGTTTTCTTCTATTTTTTTTTGTGTTTTTTTTTTTTAATATGGGAATAATTTTTATGCATATTGCTTTGAACAGTTTTGAAGCCCATATTCTGGTCAAGGAAGGGACAGTGATGAAACCCGTGGCTTTGAGATATTTCTGTTCTGCTGTTGTTTTTTTTTTCTCTTGCTAGAGTCCAAAAGAAAAACCACCAGTCTTTCACATATTTCACTGCCTAATTCTCTTACAGCAAATACAAAATTAAGATAAACAAATGTGAAACATTTAGAATTGCTCTCTGGCTTCAGATTGCTACACACGATTTCCACTAAAGTTTAAAAGGAAGCTAAGTATGGCAAAATATAATTCTTAATAACACTTTACAACAACATTAAAAATAAACCTATATTACCCAAGTCTGATGTACTCTATTCTCTGAAAGCAGTGGTGCATGTATTCAAACTAGTAGATTACAGCAAGCAGGCCTTCCCTTTATAATTGTTTGGAGATACTGTAATAAACTATATAGTAGCTGTTGTTTGTGAAATAGCATCATTTACTTTTAGTGAATGAAAAGCATGAGAAATCTTGGCCAGGAAACAATTTTGTAGTGAATGGATACACGTCTCCCATCTGAGCAGTAGAAGTGTTCAGCAGTGTCAAAGTTTTCTTAATTCTCCACCTTACTCTATGCAAAGCTAAACTCCTAGAAAACCTCTTAATTCCACTGATGCATATAAAACAGCTCTTAAAATGCTGCATCATAACTCCTACTTTTCAAAAGCAGCTAATAAATTGTTTGGGGTCTTTAGGTTTCCAGGATACAGGATGCCTAATGTTAGTAAGGGCTGGTTTGTTTTGTTTTGGTTGGTTGGGTTGTTGTGTTGGTTTTTTTTTGGGGGGGGGGGGGATAAAAGCAGAACCACCAATCACCTGAAAACCAGATGTTTGTCAACTTAAGTACTCAAAAAATGTTTTTTTTAAAACTTTGGCCTGAGACTGAAAAACATATAGCAAGTGTTTTGAGTTTCTGCCCCCTTTCTGTGAGGCTGGGCTCTAGACAAAGCAGAAGCTTGTCAGCTTTATTATAGGCCTTGCTGGCAAAGATTCCTGTTAAGGCTGCCTAAACACTTTTTTTTTTTTTTTATAACCAACATCTTCACTTGCTTCTAGCTTTGCTGTGCTTTAACCACTCAGATTGAGCATTTCCATGCTGAGTGCTCATCTGCAGCTGTAACCATTTCTTGATTTATTTTTTATTTTTATTTTATTTTTTCCTCCAAAAAGAAAAACGTTTTCCAAAATGGGGATTGGGGAAAAATGTGATGCTTGGCCAAAATTATTTCTTAACATCAAAGCTTCTTATAACATACAGGCACACCAAGAGACATTTACTTTCTGGAGCTGGGTTTTTAAATGTACTGGGGCTTCACTGGAGTATATCTCCCTGTGAAAAGCTACAAACATTTGGCTGAGTTGGAAGTCTTTATGAATTGCTGTTTGCATAGAAGGCGATATAGGCCCTAAGCTTTTGAGGCTGAGCAGGATTCTTCCTGCAGCTGGAATCACTATGGCACAGGAACAGTAAATAGGGAGACTGTGTCTATGGTCTTTTGTCTTTGCCTTGTGTGACAGCAGAGGGATCATTTTAAAGAGGGCAGACAGAGGAAAGAAGCAGCCTGACTTGTTTACAGAGTAGAGCAGGTTGGGAGCAAGATAGAGAGGGAGAGGGGGGAAAAGGAGGGAGAAGTTTTCTTTTATATAGGGGTCTACAAACTGAAGGACCCTCCGTCACTGGATTTCTTGCCCCTTATTTTAATAAGGGTTTAACTTTTTATATTCAGTATGATTTTGTAAGAAAGGGGGTCCTATGCTTTAACTATATTATGGAAATATTGTGCACAGTTACCCCATGTGAGCAGATTTTAAGTGGGCAGGGCCAATTGAAAAAACTAGTTCTGTTTGATTTTATTATCTTTTTATATTCTAATTTGTTTTTGAAAAGTGTATCATCTCAAATGCTATAGTTGGATGGACAATGAAAGAATAAGTGTATTCTCACTTAGTGCTAAGAGGACCTACTAAATGTTTTTGTCTCCCCTCCCCACCCCTAGGTCTTTACCCACCAAGAGCCAAACTTGTCATTCAGAGACACCTGTCATCACTTACTGATAATGAACAAGCAGACATTTTTGAACGTGTTCAGGTAAGGTAGAAGTTGCTGCCTTCTCTGTCAATGGACTAATATTTTTAAGTTGGTAAATATGCATATTCTCCTTCTAAGGTATAATTTGAAAACCTACGTGCATTTTCATGAACTGTTGAGTTAATGTGTCAAAACTCTACTGTAATATAGGGCATCTTTACATGTGCTTCAGGGATTGGGGGTGGGGGGTACTTTTTAATTAGAGTGGTTCTGAGAGCCACTCGAATTGAAGTGCCCACAGTATCTTGTGTATTCAGTATCCCACTCTTAAATCTGGTGGCAGGGGTACTTCAACAAGCTTTATTAAAGTGCTCCCACTGCC